CAGACTGCCTTCCTGTAAGCAGCCCATGAATGCAAAACTGCAGTGGCTTTCAGAGCAGGAAAGTCAGGAGATTCTCCATTTACACTTTCAAAGTCACCTTGACTCAGCCTTTCCCTCCAAAAGCTCAAACTCTGTAAATATGGAAAATAGCTTTTTTTTTTTTTTTTTTAAGAAAGCTAACGTTTATTGAACACTTACTATAGATCAGGCACAATTCTGGGCATTAATAAACATGGTATCATTTCATCCTCCTAACAACCAGGTGTAAGAGTCCCCAGGTGGTGGACACCTGTCTACTGACCAAAAGGTTGGCAGTTCGAAACTATCCAGAGGGGCCTCAGAAGAAAGACCTGGTGATCTACTTCTGAAAGATTGCAGTCATTGAAAACCCTATTGCAGTTCTATTCTGCATGATGGAAGAGGTCCAATGTAATCAACCTGCCACCAGGTTGCTGGCTGATCACCTCAAGGAATGGTGTCATATCAGGGACTCAGTGTTGGTCTCTACTGCTGGCAGACTGAGCACGCAGTGGTGGCTGTAGCCAAGTCGGCCTTGGTGAGTGGAAGACCATGTTGCTGAGCCCATGTATAACCTCCATCCCTGCCACCATGGCCACTTTGCTCATGAGCCCATTGGGCAATGACAGGAGTAGCTAGGGAAAGTGGATGACTAGTTTCCACAGAATGTGTCATCCTATCCACTTGATTGTTAAAATCATCCTCTTCTGAGGTCACCCTTTAGTAAGCATTCACGAGACACAAATATCTTGACTTCTTTGGCCCATTAAGAGAGTTCTATCCACATACCTATTCCCCATACCTCCATGTCTCCAATTTCCCAATCATGTTCCTTCCAAGTCCCTGACCATCCAGCCAAACCATTGGCCAGAGCCCATGAATCAGTATACAGTCACACATCTGGTCATTTTTCCTTCCAAGCAAAAAGAAAAAGCAGTTGAACTGCTTGACTTTCTGCCCATTGGGAGGATTTCCCTTAACCACTGTCCTTCAGGGAGGTCCCAGAAAGGGGCTGTAGTGCTGCCACTGTCCACTTT